TAACCTTAGGAATATAGAGGGTCTGAAAAACGGAAAGAGGTATCTCCACCCTTAATGACGCCTCTTTCCACAACATCCAGGAGCCCACTATCTGGCTCCAGGAGTTCAGATTGAGCTGCGTCGGGGCTAGCCCATAGGACCTAAGCACCAACCTAAAGAATGGATGAAAGGGCAGCCAAAGTCCAGCCCTAAGAATCGCCTCACTAATGGCCACACAGCCTGGCCTAGGGTAGTAGGCTCTCTCTTACGGCCCGGGGAGGATCAAGTCTACGCTGTCAGGGATCCTATACTCTATCCTAAGTCTCCCCAGGTCGGCCTCCCTTAATTTTGATGGGTAGTCCGACGCCCCCAATGCACAGAGGTATCTGGTGGGCTATCCAGTCGTTTCCATATGTTCTTCCCCTCCATTATTGCCTCGGCTATTTCTGAGGAGGTCGCCACAATGGGCTCGTCCACCTTCACTATTTCTAAACCCCTCCCCTAACTAGAACTCCCCTCTGAGGCCATTCTTTAAAAATTTAAAAGCCTAAATATGTGCTGAAACTTACGGGTTTGGAGGTTTTCCTAGCCGGAAATGGTGTAAGGTCATCGGAAGTCTAGTTTTTCTCATCGGAAGTCTAGTTTTTCTCGCCGGAATTGCTTGCAAAATGCCGAAAATCACCAAAAATTCGAGAGCAAAGTATAATCTCAGTTTTGCAAGGGTAGAAAGCCTGAGAAAACCCCAAAGTCCTCCTTTTAAGAAAAACAAATCCGATCTCCAACGTTGAATTCAAATGCGATCAATCTAAGCCGTTCGTCGCATCCTCAATCTAGGCCGTTGAAATGAAACGTCAGATTTGATCTACGCCCAAGATGTCGCTGTGACTTTCATGCTTGCTTGAAACACGTCACCTCGATTACAACCAGCCGTCAATAATAATTAGTAGACGCAGTAGCCTTTTAGGAGAATGGGCATGGCATCCAACTATCACCTTGAAAACACGCAACAGTTGTCAAATCATTTGACGTTTGAGTCGCCTCGGATTGAGCTCCTTCTCCAACTTTACAAAGTTTGGACGCACCTGACGCGAAGGCCCTTTTGGATCATCACCTCGAATGCTGCGTTTCCTCCCATGCTTTACAAAGTTTCAGCTATCTCCCAACGCGTCGACCTTTTGGGTCAGCGCACCGGTGGCAGATGAGCTCCTCCTTCAACTTTACAAAGCTTGGACGCACCTGACGCGAAGGCCTTTTTGGGTCATCGCCTCGGATGCTGCGTTTCCTCCCATGCTTTACAAAGTTTCAGCCATCTCCCAACGCGTCGACCTTTTTGGGTCAGCGCACCGGTGGCAGATGAATTCCTCCTCTAACTTTACAAAGCTTGGACGCACCTGACACGAAGGCCCTTTTGGATTATCGCCTCGGACGCCGCGTTATCTCCCATGCTTTACAAAGTTTCAGTCATCTCCCAACGCGTCGGTCTGTGGGGTCAGCGCACCATATTAGCGAAGCTTCGATGCACCTTACGCAACGTTCCATGCTGGTTGACCGCCTCGTACGCTACACACAATAACGAAACTTTGGCACGTCTGCCTGTTATCATAACCTCGATTGCTGCAACAGATCAACCCCCAAAACTCCCATGACTTGCAGTCCGGTCAGGAAAGTAAGTCTATGCATGATCTAAATATTCATCCCCAAACTTGGGGGACCACAGTTACGCTCCGATTTTACACGCCTCGGATACCGAAGTGTCATCTCGCCTCCGAGGTTGAGGTCAAGTGGACACCGCGCAGCACCACATATTCCAACCTGGAAACGACCTTTCCGAAGTGTCTCCGAAGTGATATAACGATTCCTACTACTGATCTGCCGAAGCATCTCACCTCCGAGGTCGAGATCAAGTGGACCCCGGTTAGAAAATCCGCCGCCAATTTGAGATTTGTCCTGCACCTAATGCTTAAATTGATTTGACGTCTCCATGAGACTAGTTGATGTGACTTATCAACTTTGTGTCAATTCAACTCAGAAGAAACAAACTGTCCGCCCACTCTACAAACGCGGCTGATTGACGCCTATGAGCAGACGCTTCATACCATCAGATGTATACACGTGTTCCACATCCAACGGTTCATACCACCTATAAACACCCAATGTTTGGCAAGAGGCCAAGGTAACGAAACTCTTACTACATAGCACTCCATAGCAAGTTTATATATTTTTTCCTCCCCCTTTATTGTTGATTTGCATAGCCCCTGGGTACTGTTCCAATCATCCAAACCTGACTTGACCGTCAGAGTGTATACGGCCGCCGTCACCCCCGCTGATTGTGCACAGGGAGGAATACGTGGAGTAGCTTTCAGTTGGCCACGTGGAAGGACCAATTTCTGGGGTCAACAGATTGGCGCCGTCTGTGGGAACCACTCCCCATTCGAAGTTTTGCGTTCTCCATCGGAGAAGGTACCGAAAAACCAACGACTAACCATGAAAAGGGGGCATTCTTGAAAAGAACAAAGTTGAGTTACAATCCAAATTCTCACTACCCTTGAAAAAAGATGTAGGATGAGCTACAGCCATGAAGATGACAACCCCATGAGAGATTATGAAATGAAAGTTGTGGAACCTATAAAATATGTAGTTGAAATAAGTTGTTGACTTTGATTTATATTGAAATTTTAATTTTAATCGATACTAAATAGGAGCTAATATTACAGTGATTAATGATGCCTACGTATGAGACCGATTGATCGAACTAAGACGAAATATTTCCTCTGACTAATACCTAAGAAAATGTTGAGGCTTGATCTTGAAATGTGCCATAATTTTGAATACTTGATTTGAAGTAAACTATCAATACATAATAATGACAACTTGAAGTCCAAGTTCACCTACCGAACCGACTACTTTCATTTTATTTTTTTTTATTTTTTTTTATTTTTTCAGAATCTGAAACAAGAAGTTAATGTCAAGAACAACATATAATTTAATTAAAATTAAATAAATAAAGTACGATGGTATACATTATTATAATCTTGGATTTGGATTCCATCAAATAATCTCAAATGGTTTACTCAATTAATTCATTTGATTCATCAATTTTTAGAGTTTGTTTGGCATGACTTTTGAAAAGTTAAAAAGAGTTTTTGAAATACAAAACCTTCTTTCGAGCCTCTTCGACTAATTTTACGAAAGTATTTTTCTGAGTTAAAAGAATTTTCAGAGGAAGATAATCAAATGTGAGTTCTTCTAAAAGCGACAAGAAGTTGCTTTCATATAAAAATTAATGTTGAATCAAAAGTAAAAGTCATGTAAAATAATGCAGACTGACCATTTAATCAATAATAAAAGCTGAAAATGTTGCTATTTCAAATTGAAGACTTACAACTAAGATGGGCTGTCCAAAAAGCACAAACAGTGGCTTTATCAGACGTGAATCTTTATACTTTCTCAATTCCAATTATATAGACTTATTTCATTTTTCATGTTACTTAAGAAAATTTCTTTAATGTGATTAGAAAATTAATTTTTGTCAATATTTTTCCTAGTTTACCCCTATTTAATTTTCAGTATGTAATAGTAAATTATTGTTGAAATAAGTAAAAAATTTGAATGGTTTAATTTGAAGAAGAAATGAGATTTGTTCCATGTTTTCAAGAAGTGAGAAATATGTGTATTTGGATGATTTCAAAAAGTTGGCATAATAAGTGGAAAAAATTGAATAAGGGTATATTGATAAATGAATAAAACAAAATATTTTAAATTAGGAAACAGACCTATATATTTGGGGTAAGAGAAAAATGAAACTCAAACTATGTAATTGGGACGAAAGGAGTAGCTTTCTTGATTTTATCACGTTACAATGGAGCCTCCTCCACATATCACTCTTTTAAAGTAATTAATGCAAGGGTGTGGAAGGTCATCCACATGGGCAAACATGACCTGCCCATTGACTTCTATATTTCACACATTATAATCGAACATCACATTCTTTTTGCACATTGCGGATATATTCGATACATGGAATCCAAGGAAAAAAAAATCTACATTCAGCGTGTCAAATTGTCTTATAAATTGAATTGGGCAACAACTTGAAAGAGTAAGGATTAATGATCGCATCAAGGTTGAACATATGTTAAAAAAAAAGTCAAATAAATGAAAACAAAGCAAAAAAAGCGGACCGAACCAACTGATTTTGGGTGAACCGGGATGATTTTGGAGGTCAATTGACAGGTTGGATGGTTGTTTTAAAGGTTTCAAAATTTTCAATTTTAACATACAACTATGCACGTTCCTAGTTTTTTCAGTTAAGTCGACATGTTTGATCCAATTTTACAATATTGATCATAATACACTTATGTTGAGAAAGCATGGTTGGTATGTAATACACGAGACTTACAATATATCGAAAACATTTAATTTCTTTCTTCCTTAATATAAACTGTATTACAAGAAATTTTTACTTTTAATGATGCAAATATTTGTTGTAAAAGTCAATTTGGGTTGTTTCATAAAAAAAGCATCAATGAGAGACTTTTCAAGATAAATATTGTTATTGCTAAAAGCGAGACTTCTTGTACAGAAAAGTGAGTCCACCAACAACCTCATAATAATTTAATTACTAGCCACTTAAATAATTAATCAAATTATTTAAAAAACTAGCTCGAACTTGGAGTGCCCAACTTTTTCCATACATAATTTAGGAATCACATTTATTTGATAAATAACAAGCGCACAATTATTGAAAGTATAGATGTAAAGCCAAGAAAAACATCATTAATTAAGTTCTAGCCCTTGTTTGGTGACGATTAAAATCATATTTTTAATAGATTTTGATGAAAATATACGATTGAAAAGTTGTAAAACCATAAAATATGTGTTTAAAATTTATTTTTGACTTTGATTTAAATTAAAATTTGGATTTTAATCAGTACGAAAGCGGGTGCTAATTTGTGACCTAAAAAGTGGACCACCCCCACATGCATTCTTGTAAATTAAGTCAATTCAAAATTCCATGCATCGCACTCACTTCTATTTGCATTCTAACGTCCCAATTCATTTTCCAATAGAAAATTTTCACGCTCTTCATTTCACCCCACAAAGAAACTCAAATTCCTTCATCTCCAATTCCAAATTTCCATGTCCATCTTCAAAATGTTGAAATTCATTGTCTTTTTGGTCTTCGTCTCTATCGCGGTTCGAAGCGAAGGATTGAACCCAAGAAAGCTTGATGATGAGACTCCACCGGATTTTCAGAATAAGTGTGGAAACTGTCCTTGCAACAACCCGTGTAACCAAGCCCCACCGCCTCCTCCACCACCTTCACCACCACCTCCGCCGAAGATTAAGCCACCAAGCAACTACTGCCCACCTCCACCCAGCGGCGGCGGCCAGTACCCTCCAAATCCTCCTTACATATACGTAAATGGTCCACCAGGAAATATGTATCCCGTCGACCCCTATTATTCTGGTGCTGGCCGGAGTTTCTCTCTAAGATTGCCATTTTTTATCAGCACTATATTGGGAATCCTAGCTTTCATTTGAATAAGACAAAACGCACAAAATTTTATGCAATCCATGAGGAGGTGAAGAATTTCTTGGGATGGGAATTTTTTTCTAATCCTTAGGTTGGTGTTATTAAGTATTTTTAATTAGCTTAATCTTCAAGTGTGATAAATCTCAATAAACTTTCTGTTTCATTTTCTTCTTGATTATTATGTATTAATCTAATCCAAGTGACTTATGATGTTCTTAAGTTTCATAGTTTCTTAATTTCTTTTCTTCAAATTCAGGTTTGATTGAATATTAAACAAGTCTTACTAATAAAAAGTTACATATTATCCGCCAGCTTGTGTTTCTATTAGAGGTGTCAAAAAGGATAGATCCAATGAAGTCTTTTCAATTTTGCTTTTTCAAAAAATTATTAGGTCGGTGGCCTGCTCATCCTGTCGCGACTTAGGCCGTGTCATGCCTAAAAACTGTAAGATTGTTCTAAGTCAAGTCCAACCAGATTTGACACCTCTAAGTTTCCTTGTAGTCTTATTCCCTATTTAGTGAAGATTAAAATAAAATTTAATAGTAACTTTTGATAGAAGTTGTTCAAATATGTTGTTAAAAAGTTGTAGATAACTTGGATTAAAATCTTGATTTTAATTCCTACTAAATTAATTTACGAGTTAGTTTTTGCTCTTTAGAGTCCACCACATAGTTGGATTGGGGTGTCTCTTCTAAGCATGGGCGGACCTAGACGACTATC